GCTTACCTTTCTTCCGTTCCCTTTCCTATCTGTCCCCACCACCTTATCCACCTCGACTGCTTTCGGTCACGCCGCTCGTCTAAGAGTGAGGGGTACCTCCTTAACCCTTCGGTTACTCTTACCCCCTCGCATGCCCCATTCCTGGTGTCCCTTCCATTTTTCGTACTTCGGTAACTTCTTCCTTGTCCACGAACCCTCACAACTGTTTGGTCGCTCATCCGGGGTAATCTTATGTTTCCCTTTGCTCTCCCTGCCTTCCCTTCGTCATATTCCGTTTTTCTACTTCTTTTCATACCCCATTGGCGTTCGTCTGCTCGGCCCAGCACCCCCCGCTTTTCCATTTTCCTTCGCGCCCCCTGCTCTCTCGGGGCTCCCCAACCCTTTCCCCCGCCCGTCGTCAGCGGCCAATGGCCCACGGTAGCGAACCCCGTAACAGACGGCACCGAATATCTCATTCCAACGCTCTCCGTTTACACGCCCATGTAATTCGATCTTACTTTTCAACTTTTTTACTTCATTTTAATTTTTTTTTCTTTCCTAAATTATATAATATTCTTATCGTATCTTTTCATTGTGCATTTACATCATTCCGAGTAAGTTAAATGAATCTCCATTTTATTGTTAGCTTTTTATAAAGAACAAACTTTTGTTTGTTTGAATAATGCTCACAACTTATTATATCCGTCACTCCACACACTTCCATATAACACAGTATAGCTGAGAATATAAAATGTGTGTTGTATCGTATAAACAATGTGAAGCAAAGAGAGGGTGGTATAAAAGAGAAGGGCAAATATTAATTGAATAAATGGATTCGTTGTGAAGCATATTGTACAAGCGACGGTAAAGGATCGTAAAACCAGGTACTGGTCAAGGCTTGGACTGAGCCAAAGTGGTCTACAATAGAGGCCGAACTAGAACGACTAGCGTGGTAATGCATATTGACGTTTTGCCGATAATTCAAGCGGCGCCCTGATGGGTGAAAGCAACAAGAGTTGGTGGTGGTCCTGGTGGTTGGCAACAACGCCTATCTCGGGATAAAGAATAAGTGGAACAACGAATGGATGATAAAGACGATATTCTTTGGACACTCGAGACACTTTGTTTATCCCAGGGATTTGCTACAGTAAGAATGCATCAATTGTTTATTTTCGTGATGATCTAACATGGCCTCTAATATTGGTGGAATTATCGTACATATCCATTTACTTCCATCCACTGAACACCTATAGACAACACTTTTTATTCAATATAAAAATCTATGAAATATATTTGTGTATGTATGTGTGCATGTATTATGGATAGTAAGCAACGTATATACAATTGCTTTTGTCGATTGTGAAACCAGTCAGCAAATAATTCATTATTCACGTTAATTAATATTGAAGCGGATAATACGCTTGTTTATTATTGATTCATTGAACTATTTTACGCATATTTAACTTTATATCTTTTCTCATTTTCCTTTACACTTTGCATCACTTTATTTTATTTAATTTCATCAATTTTAAATTTTATTGTCCAGTGTTATTTTTCTTTTTAACGTTTTCTATTTTTTTTTTTTTGTTTATTTATCTTCACAACACTATATACCATTTTGGTTTAAGGCACCATTGAATATCCACATGCTTTTGGTCACATATAACCAATCGAGAATACATCTATATATGTATGTATAGAGATATATTTTTTATATATTGTTTTGTTTTGTTCCCGGCACCGCCGTATACCCCCAAGGGTACGAAGACCAATTAACCGAGTGATTCCCGTTTCGTTACCGTTCGTTCTTTTGATTGTTTACGGCCTGAAAATTGAATCATGGTTCGCTTCGGGTACTCGACAAAAATATTTCAGTTGAGAAACAAATTTTATATATGTTTGTTAAAAGTTTTTTTAGTCAATATTTTTTTTTGTTACTTTTTAAAATATTACTCGTACATTTATAAAACATGTATAGCTTCATTATGTGTTGTATTGTAGTGAAGGGAGGTCGCATATGAAATGTGCTTTTTTATGAGAATTTTAGTCTATTTTCGGAATTGTTTATGGAAACAATGAAAATATCAATTAAAATGATATTTAATCCTTTTTGAAAAATATGTCAGCACATTTAATGAAATAAAATATGTTTTAATGGTTGAAAAATTTTTTTTATTTTTTTCGAATCTATTAGATACTTTTATTACATGAACAATTAATACTTTTTTTTAATTATATATATTGGAAAAAAAATTATTATTAAGAAATCAATTAAATCTTATTTAAAATTTATTATGATTCATTGATATTGTAAAATAAAAATTCTATGCTGTTAAATAAACTAATTTATTTAACAGTTGTACATAGATTGGCATATTTTATTTTTATAATAGATATCAGTATTTAAAGAACGGAGTACATTTCATATTTTATATAATAAAATAAAGATAATAAATGACTTTACTTTTGTCAAACCGTTTGCTTTATATAAAATATTGAGAGTAAGATACTGTATTAATAATATTTCTCTTTACTTAGTTGAATATCATTTATCGATTTTCTATGATTATGAATTTTCTATTCTATTCTTGCTGATTGCATAAAAATGATACACGTCATTGTACAATAGTCTCAATTTCTCAGATAATAGCTCCATCGCAATACAATGAAAAATTCTGTCAAAATTGATGCATACTTTATAAAACGACTGCCACAGTGAAGGCTTGAATTGTTACTAAATTTTACACTTTTTGTTACAACCAATTTGAACAAAATTTATCGTAAACAATAGATGAAGTAATTCATCCTCTTTGTTCAATACTCTAGTCATATCACTCAAATTACATATTTCTTTTTATCAAAAGGAGTAGAATGAATATATTTTATTAATGTAAAAAATTATTATTCGAAAGTCATTTAATTGACGATGAATTTTTTTATGCATGAAAAAAATACTCCAAAAATTGAGATAACAAGAAGGAATATATTCCATAAATATACTTTGATCTTCAAAATTAATTAAACAATTTTTTTCAAACATATTTCATAATAAATTTCGATGAAAAAATCATACTTTCTATTTAAAATTATTTGTAAACAAAAATTACATTCGCATATGTGACAGAATGAACATCAAAGAAATTTCAACATTTTCTTTTGACGACCAAAAGTAATCCTTTTAGAGAAGTATTATTTTAGAAAAATGATTAAAATAAAATATAGAATATTTTTAGTGAGCGAAAAACTATAAAAAGTGGAAATTAATCGAGGAATGAATATGTAAAAGTCTGAATGATAGTATAGAATGAAAATTTTTTCATATCGTTCAAGTGAGAAAAAAAAGCAGTTGACGAGAATGTCCTCTATACATGTAGGCGCTGGTACTCAACCATTTCCTATAATCGATTTTCCACGAATTGCCTCCATTATGAGCAATTATCGACAGGAATGAAAAGGGTTCAATTGACGTAGTATGCGTGTTGGAGTGAGAAAAGAGAAGACAGGCCACAATCATGGAGGAAGTACTGTGATTGCTGTTCGAGAAAAGAGTCCCTTCGTGAATTTGATTTGTCCAAACAGAATAAAACACATAAAAGATTCATTTAAAACACCATCATGGAGATTATTATATCACTTCAGCATATGATTTCTATTACTAATATTATTCTGGTAAAGTAATCGAGTGAATGGTAGGAATCGATATTACTGAAGTTAATCAAATGTAAGAAATTGACTGGTTTGAAGTGTTTTTGACTGTAATTTGATTGGTTACAGAATTTATTTGCTAACTTTCAACCATTAAAGGTTAAATATCATTTTCTTATTTATCATATTGCCATGTATTACTTGAATTGAATATTTCAAATTTATCTTTAAAAGGAAATATATTGTGAGAGAATTTAATAGTTTTTTCAAGGAGAGATAACAAAAAGTAAAAGTCTCTTACAAAGTAAACACACACTTATACAATATACTATCAATTGTATAACAAAAATGGAAGGATTAAACTAAGTAGATGAAATTACATTGTAATCCATTGGAGGTTGTTGTTACACATGTCGAAAAAAAATTACCTTTCTAAGAAATCGATATGTAATGAGTTACATTCATTTAATATTGATCCACCTCATTTAAAACATATTTGTATCTCTATTTTTTTAGAAATATCATTTTTTAGGATTTTCTTTTAGCTTTTTTTTTTTAGATATTTTCAATATTTAAGAGTATTGACACTAGAGTAAATTCTTATTTTAAAGGATATATGAAGAATTTGGTATGTGTAATATTTGAATAAGATAATATAAAAACCATCAAACATTTTATAAACTATTATTTTGAACGGAATTAGATCAATTTTCGCGTAGCATAAAATTTCTTAAATTAATTGAATGCACCAATTCACCCTGAGTTAATTCAACAAACACTTTATTATGCAGAAGCAATCATGTAAATCAATTATCACAAGCAAAATGGAAAGATTAAGATACAAATGTGAAACGACATTGTGACCTGTTGAGCTTTACTAAGTGATGAGTATTAGGGCCGCGTCCTTTTATCGTAGTTTACCTTAGAGAAATCACGGTAAGTTGAGGAAGAAAGAATAGCTTGGTCGGACAATAACGACAATCAATAGTACAGAGTGATATGGCACGTTATACTTTAGCACTTATCAGATTTTGTTGTGACGTAGTTTACATCCCCTGAGATTAAACTCTTGATGAGTCGTAGACGATACAGAAAGGCAAGAGAAAAACTATTTCAAGACTATATCCTTGAGCGTTGCCGTCAGAAAAAAAATCTACGATACATAAAGAGAGAAAGAACGAGTTCTGTGAGTTAGAGGGGAGTTGGTTAGATTGAGGCGTGATTGAAAACTTTGCTTGCGGCAACAGGAGTCGATTGAAATATAGTCTCTCCCTAAAAGAAATATATTTGCATAAAAATTTTTATCTTTTACTATTGGGTCACTTAAAATTACATTTGAATAAATAATATCTACATTTTTTTTGTCTGAATTTCAGGCCAAATTGGACAAGAGTCATAATGGCAAACCATCCAGAGTCATTCACATCAGAAATATCAGTCATGAAGTTTCAGAATCTGAGATCATCAATCTTGGCATGCCTTTTGGTAGAGTGACCAACGTTCTCGTGCTCAAAGGAAAAAATCAGGTAATTTTATTTGTTGTTATCATATATATTTATCCAAGTATCATTCAGGAGTACAATAGTATAAGTACGCACGGTTGCTCCGTATCATCGTGATACATCACCAGAAACAATCGAATCACCCAACCACACGGCAATCGAATGACCAACCACCATTTACCCATTATCTCGGTGAGTTTCAGAGTGCTTTGAAAAGCAGGTGTGGTTTGAAAAGGAAGAGAGAATTCGTGACAAAGGCGACCACAATATCGACACTAGAGTCAACCAATAATTGTCAGTTCATTGATATTTTTTTTTTTGCTTTCTTTGGAAGGTGGTACTTGAACAATTTATCATTTGCCAACTAAATATTTCTCGTAGTAATTGATTCATATTTTACATTCCCCATACCTTGAATTTTTTTCGCCCTCGTTATTTATTTATTTGCAGTAAATGCATTTATTCAATAACGTCTGTGTTATTTTTACACCAATAATTTATAAAAACAGTTTAGAAATAATTTAATTTACTGTTCGTATTCTAAAACGTTTAAATAATCCCTACATGTGGATATTCATTATCTGATATATTTACACACATGGTGATTTGCTCAGAAATTTAATGAGTTAACATTACCATTACAGTAATTTAATTTTTGCTGGCACGTATTTTATATTATTTTCTGCTTCATATCTACATTTTTCTGCTGAATTATCGCACATTTTTAAGTAATTACTGTTTAATTAATAATCGTCTGAAGGTTAATGATGATTTATTTAAAAAAAAAAATACTATAATTTTTTTAAATTAAAATATGTACATAATGATTTTATTGTTATAGTTATAAGAAAGATGCAATGAAAAAAACATTCATCTTTATTTGATAGTTTCAAGGATTCCATCATAACAAAAAAAAATTTTTACATTCAAGCAATTAGGTTATTGTTTTCATTTAAAACTTGTTTGGTAATAAATAGTGAATAATGTATCATAACATTTTATTAACAATTATTATCGAAGGGAGGTTTTATTAGATTATTTTGAGTAAATATTAAATTAAGTCAATTAAACATAAAAAATTTTTAATTTAATACAACAAAATTTTTATTTCAACTCTGTAATTGAAAAATGTCTATTTTTTGGAAAATATTTGTAAAATTTTTTTTGCTATAAAAAGCAATTTATTTTTCGAGGGTAATGGATTTCTGTTATTATTTATTCCTTTTTTTAGTATGTTTATGAAAATAATATTTTGTAAATAATGGAGTTATTAATTTTTCAAAACATTTTAATTGACCAATATAAGGACATTTATTTTCTGGTATTAACGAATAACTATTGATATTTTTTTTTAATTTTCTATGAGGAAGTTTTTTTTAAAATGCCGAAAAAAGATGTTCTGTTTTTTAGGAATAAAAGATACTTGAAAAAATTAATTTATTTCTGACGTTAAAAAAATGTTTATAAATTAAAATACTACTTCTTTTTAAATTGAAAACAACGACGCTTATTCCTATTGATATAAATGAAAATTCTTTCAATAATGAAAATGATTCCTGTCATGAAATGATATCTTCCTAATCCTCGAAAACACTAAATCACGTCTACTAAATACCTCAACAGTTAATGATTGTGAAACATAGAATCTATGGGAACAATATTCTCATAGAAATCTGTCGAAGCTTTAATCGCATTGTGTATTAAATAGCGTATAAAAAAAATGTAAGCATCCATTGAGTAGTATCCGAGCCGAAATTCACTCTGTACATTAATTGTTATTCTCTATATATTGTTGCAACGAAAATAGCGTTTTTCATTAGTCTAGTGACTCTCGAATGATATTGAACACGCATGATATGGATACGGTGTCAATAAACACCATTAATATATTCGTATACGATCGAATCGCAAATAAGCTTGTGTTTTGTTTATGCCGGGCTGGATTAAAATAATGCACCTATGCCTGCTATTCACCGCACTGAGCCAGATGAAGAGATTTACCTCGCGGAAATTACGCGCGCATTAGCGACGGAAATGTGTAGCGGGGGTAGTAAGCGGTCAGATTCGATGAGGGGGTCACAGTATGTATGGATATATGATGATATTCAGGTCGTGTGGGAGTGAATATGTTGCTTCTCTTCTCCTCCTCTCATTTCTCTCTCGAAACCATCGATACGTACATGCATGGTATACACACATAACTGTTGACCAGCCAAACTGTGCAACCGAGAATACGACCCGTATATTCGCGATGGAAATTTTATGAACCATGAGAGCGTGCGGTTGGTTCTCCTGCATCCGTTTAACTTGGGTATTCGCAATTGTTTCGCTTTTTTGCAAATTCTATATTACCAACAATGCCAGTTAATTACGCATCATTTACCTCATTTGACGACCCCTGTACTGGAGTGTTTGTCCAAGATGAGTCCTCGCAATGACTCGAGGGAAATATCCAAACTATCATCAAATACTCTTCAATATTTCATAATACTAATCGTAGTAATAACAATAATAATACTGGTTTCAATTATTGTTATATCTTGGGAGATAGTCAAGCAAATTTTGGTAACGTCTCGAATCCATTTAGTAACTCAATCGTCTAATAATTTGTGTTAACGTATCGTCGAGTAATTCAGTCGTTGTATGTAAACAGCCGGTGGTACGTAACTCCCGCGGCAATCGAGTTTCGCGGTGGGAAATGTTGCCTAGTTGTATACAGTTCATGGTCGGTGTATATGTATGAGCGCTGAAGAGAGGTAGAGAATGAGCCGACTGACCCCCGCAGGGCATTTTCAGTATATTTGCTTTGATTTCAAGTTTCAGCCAAGTTAGTTACTAAGGTACCTCCTGCTTCAACTTCTCCTTTCCATACTCAACTCACTCTCTTACTCTACTCTTTACTCTATTCTATCTTGAGTATCGTCTTGAACGTTTCAATGGCATTCTCAACGTGAATCGAGCCACCACCGGTATTCACAGAATTCTAATGTAGTTTGTCAGTTAATCTACAAAGATAAATCGTATTTTAAACATTAAATGTATACACATTATTCCATTCCATGAATTCATTTCATTATTTTTCCCTCCATCACGGATCACTTTTGACAATATTTCCTGCATGTTGAATTACCCCCGGCTGTTATTAATGCTGCTGCTGCTGCTTGTGTATTGTAGAGATGAATAAAAAAAAACATAGAGATTACATTTTTGATACTCAAAGTACTTTATCATTAATTAGTTAATTAAGCATCAAAGGACAAAGGTGTGTGCGTGTGTGTATGTTGCTGAGGCTTGGCTTCAAGACTCGCTATGACTAGAGAGGGTATGTCAACCGTCGATGAGACTGGTGGATAGTACGTCAACCACTTCGTAATTGCGTGATATATACAGACGTTGATGATATTAATATTTCAAATTCAATTAAAACTTTTATTCCCTCGACAACTTTATTTCTAGAATAAGTTAATGTTAGATGACAGATTCTTCTGTTACTTTGTGTTCTATTAATTCTTCCAACTTTTTTTTTTCTATTTAATATTTAAAGTTTTCGATCAACTCATAAAATAGTGATATTGACATATTGCATATCGTCGACTAATGTAGTCTGCGAAAGAAAAAACAAAACCAACAAAAATTTCAACATTTTATTTTATGTTTTATCTCTGATTGACAATTTATATACATCACGTACGTTTTTATTTTTTTCTATCGTAAAACCGACGACGATATGTATGAATTTTGAAGTAAGCGTCATATACGAATACATAATAACGGCAATTCGATGAAACTCAAAATCACCCATGCAATTGTTATTTTTGTATTCTTTTTTTTTTTTATTTATCCTCAGTCACTCATATCATATATCACACAATATGTATTATAAAAAATGGATTCTGATAAAAGGTTGAAATTAGTGGAATGAGTTCTAAGGAATAAAAAAATCAACAGTAATTTAATGTATCGATTTTTCGTAATAATGATAAAATGTAATGTGATATAATTATATGTAATAAAACGTAAATATATGATAAAGAGATGAAGAGATATTGTAAAGAGCGAACATTTCATTCAATAGTGAATGTAAATGCACATCAAATTTTGATATTTTTGATGTGATTTAATACTAATATTGAACATGTTGGGAAAATATATGATTTCAATAATATAATATTCATTTCAATTTCATTAAAAATTGTTTAATTGAATTGAATTAAAAATATTAAGAGTGGAAATGTCAGTTGAATTAAGAATTATAGTTATTTAGGTTTTTTTTCTTTTTTTTGAAGTACAACTAGTCTGTTCTGGTTTATGGAGAAATTTTTTATAAAGATTTTATATACATCTTCATATAGATTCGCTCATATAAAAGGCTTATAAAAATTTCATTTTTAAAGAAATTCACAAGCATCTTCCTCATAGTTGTGACCGAGGAAATGGTTCTAAGTCACCGGGTGAGATTTATCAACATATTCGAGATATGCACTCGAAGAAAATTTTTCCGGCAATGTAAAAATCTTTAAAATCTGTTTATACATATTTTTATAATTTAAAACGATTTTCGGATTTTTGTAAATATTTATATATCTTTTCTCCTAGAATTTTAGATTTGGAATGAAATAAGATTCATGCATTTTTAGAAAATAAAATATTCATATTTATATAAATGAAAAGGAAAATAAATAAGTAATGGTTAATAAGTAAAACTATCTCATCTTTTTAGTGAAGTAAAAAATTTTCATCTTCCATCTTCACCTTATTATTATTATTACTCATTGTTCATTTTTTTAATAGGAATTTATTTATTAGATATCTTAATAATGTGGGTCTTGCGTATACCACACTCACAAGGCTAAATAGTATTGCACAAATTTAATCTCTCAAATTAGAAATTTTCACTGAAGCTACCATCGACAAAGTAGTTGTATTTGTTCATTTATTACACATCATAACAGTAAAAAATCATAAATGTTGTAATTCCACATGATAAAAGGAAACAATAGCGTAACCATAAAGTGCGATTTTAT